CGTTGCATGTGTGGTGCATGTGTGTGATGAGTGTGTGGTGCATGTGTGTGATGAGTGTGTGTGGTGTGTGTGTGTGATGAGTGTGTGGTGCGTGTGTGTGATGAGTGTGTGGTGCATGTGTGTGATGAGTGTGCGTTGCATGTGTGGTGCATGTGTGTGATGAGTGTGTGGTGCATGTGTGTGGTGTGTGTTATGAGTGTGTGGTGCATGTGTGTGATGAGTGTGCAGTGCATGTGTGTGGTGTGTGTGTGATGAGTGTGTGATGAGTGTGCGGTGCATGTGTGGTGCATGTGTGTGATGAGTGTGTGGTGCATGTGTGTGATGAGTGTGTGATGAGTGTGCAGTGTGTGTGTTTGGTGCATTGTGTAGGGTATGTGTAGTGTGTGATGAGTGTGGTGCATGTGTGTGGTGTGTGTGTGATGAGTGTGCGGTGCATGTGTGGTGTGTGTGTGATGAGTGTGCGGTGCATGTGTGGTGCATGTTTGTGATGAGTGTGCGGTGCATGTGTGTGGTGTGTGTGTGATGAGTGTGCGGTGTGTGTGTGGTGCATGTGTGTGATGAGTGTGCGGTGCATGTGTGGTGCATGTGTGTGATGAGTGTGTGGTGCATGTGTGTGGTGTGTGTGTGATGAGTGTGTGGTGCATGTGTGTGATGAGTGTGTGGTGCATGTGTGTGGTGTGTGTGTGATGAGTGTGTGGTGCGTGTGTGTGGTGTGTGTGATGAGTGTGCGATGCATGTGTGGTGCATGTGTGTGATGAGTGTGTGGTGCATGTGTGTGGTGTGTGTGTGATGAGTGTGCGGTGCGTGTGTGGTGCATGTGTGTGATGAGTGTGCGGTGCGTGTGTGATGAGTGTGTGGTGCATGTGTGTGGTGTGTGTGTGATGAGTGTGTGGTGCATGTGTGTGATGAGTGTGTGGTGTGTGTGATGAGTGTGTGGTGTGTGTGATGAGTGTGTGGTGCGTGTGGTGTGTGCGGTGCGTGTGTGGTGCATGTGTGTGATGAGTGTGTGGTGCATGTGTGTGGTGTGAGTGTGGTGAGTGTGGTATGTGTGTGTGGGGTGCGTGCAGTGTAAGGTTGGGGTTGGTAGGGACTAAGTGCCAGTGCAGTCTTAAAGCAAGGCCCTCAGGGGGGAACGCTCACATCAAGCAGAAACTCCACCAGGGTGTCAGCAGAAAACTCGCCGTCGTACTCGATGACTTCATCTCCCTTGAACACGTAAACGCTGTCCTCCTCAGTTAGTCCTAGGGAGTGAGCCAGAGGTGAGCCGTTATCCCAACCTTCCCACAGATCCGAGGATCCAAATCCAGGCTCACAGCCCATGTGGTAATCCCACGGGACCCCACATCGTGCACCTCACCCTTCCCTGCCCACCGCCTCCACGGCCCCTTAGCCCCTGCTCCCGATGTCGACGCCCCTACATTTAGCCCAGGAAGCTAGCCTGGCCCAGCGGCTCCCCGGGGAGAAGCGGGGGGCGGGGCGGGGGCCTCGGGCAGGGCGTGAGAGGAGGGAGCAGGGCGATCCTGATTCCAGCGGTATTTCTCCCTTCCTCTCCCTGCTATAACTAGAGACAAACATTCAGGCTACCTCCTAGTAGCTGACTCCCAGTCCAGCCCTTTAACTCTGCTATTACTGACCAGGTGACTTCATTATTACGAGCCGCCCCTCCCCCACCCATATCCGGAGTCCGGTCTCCAGCCTGTGCTGCCCCCTGGTGGCCGGCTGCTGTAACACCCAGCCACGGCTCTGGAGGGGGAGGGGTGGGGAGAGGAGTTTACAGAGGCTTCTCCAGCTCTGCTTGTGTTCCCTGACTCCCCGCACCTAGCCATGATTTTTAGGTAAGTATAAAGAAGGTCACCCCACCTCTTTCTAGAATTTGAGAGTGGGTCTCCATAAGTGAATAAAGGAGAGTCTGGGACCCCCAGCCATAAACCTCCCAATCTCATTATTTTCTACCCTCCTTTCAGAATATACATGGTGGAAGAGTTCTTGAGCTCCTCAGATCCCACTGCCTGTCTGCCAAGTCCTCCCACTCGGGCCTCCCCCAGTCTCCCATGCCGCTTTCCCCTTCCTGCTCTTCCCGTCTCTCCCTTACCTAGTTTCTTGGCCACAGCTGCGTCCTTCTCAGAGTCCACCAGCCCAAAGCCAACACCCTTGTCTTCTAGGACTTGGGCTGCTAACTGGAGGGAGGGGTTAGAGTTAAAATTAGCCCCTGGAATTCTTATTAACTCCTATTCCCCATTTCATGCTTTCAAGTTGGATCAATTGGAATGCAGGAAATATAAGAGTTGACTTTGACATATGCTAAGATTCAGAATATTCCCCAAATCCCTACAACCCCACCCTTTCCGTCTTTGGCTTGACCTTATTTTAGTTCATGAATATTTCTCACTTTAAGGCGCTGCACTTGATACTTCCCAGTACCTTAGGGATGCTGAGAAGTCTGGCTTCAGAGTGAATGGAGGGCCCCTTCCCTCCTTAAGACTTGGGCCCTTGCACTCCATCCTGATCAAAGGCCAAGCTCAGTGTGGGGGTGATGTTAGAAGTCCCTGAGATTCTTCAGAGTGACTCCCAATGGGAAGAATTTTGGAGGTCTGGTTATGTTGCTGAGGAGTGGAGAAGGCCAGAGAGCTGAGAGTACAAGTCACCCCTCGTCACCCCCAGAGGGAGAGGGACTGACAGACTGGACAGTTCTCATCCAGGCCCAACTTTCCACTTTCACACTCTACTTTAGCCTGTCCTTGGGCTGTGGACAGTCACACTGGAGGTCCCTGCCCCCATAAGCCTCTCAGCTCAGCGTTTAACCCTGATTCACTCTGCTGCGGGCGTAGCTTGTGGCTTTACCCCACCCAGCACAGACTCAGGCACCGTGATTCTCAGGGGGACAGGGAAGGGTGGTGGTTGGCAGGTGTATGGCCAGGGATACTGAGCACTCAGGATAAAAATACTGAGCTCATTAATCAGATGGCAGTTTCCAGCACCCTGCAGGGGCACACAGAAATGACAGCCTGTAGTCTTGATGTCTCACCCTGAAATGAGCCAAGCTCGACAAGCTGGGGCCTATCTGTACCACCAAGCCAGAAAAAAGGGTCACAGAAGCTTGGACAAGGAAACTCAGACACATCCCGGCTCCTACAGGGGTTTGTGTGTGACCACATCTCCCAGGCACCCCTAAGCATAGGTTTTTTTTCCTTTCTTTTTGCAATAACCCCTCTCTCCTTTGGGTCTTCTGTCAGATTGGGGGTAAGGAGACTCTTTCCACAAAGATAGGGAAGGTGTTCTGAAGCCTCCTTCAACCATAAGAATTTTCCAGTGAGGGCATCCAGCTTTATCAATAGGGACAGATGGGGAATCAGGGAAGGGAAAGGAAGAGAGGGAACTGGGAGACCGATAGGAGGGATGGTCTCTAGGAGATATTTAAACATTTAGCCATTACATAAATGACATGTAAGTATGATATCAGTATTTAAATTTATACTCAGTTTGGATCTCTTTGGGGTGCAGGCCCTAAAGTGTGTGGAGAGGGGGCATGTTCTCGCCAGGAGAGTCTGTTGGTGGGGTGAGGGGGGTGCAGCACACTACACTGCAGCTCTTCCCTTGCCCCTAAGTACCTCCCTTCCCCTTTTTTGACCCTGTGTCCTAGTCAAACCTGGTGCTAAGAGCCTCCTATAGCATGGAGGGGAGATGCCCTGCAGCACCCCGTCTGCAACGACCTATCATAATACTTTTGGGTTCCTGGGTCTCTGTTTCTCATTTGGCTAAGGCTACCTGCCACTTGTATCCTGTTGGTCAAGACAGGGGTCCTGCCACACTGTCCCTCACCCCCAGATCCCAACCTCAGAGATCTACATGGGATTGTAGGATAGGACCTCAGAGAGGGGCTGGGCATGCTCTGCAGCCCCGCAGTCCCCCTCACTCACCTCCAGGATCAGCTCCTCCATCTCAAATTGTCTCTGTGAGGCCTTGTCATCCTCGGGGGGGTCGTGGTAAAGGAGTGCCAGCACCTCATACTTCTTGAACACGTTCTTGTAGTTCTTTGCATTGACATTGATCACACGGTCCACACCATCGTACTGAGGGAAGTCCAGCCCTTCCTCCCCCTGTACCCCTGACTTGGGTGTCCCTAGCACCAGCACTAATAACAGTGCCAGCCGCAGACCCAGCACAGCTCTGGCCCCCATCCTGTCTGTAGCCCTCATGGAGGTAGTGAGATCTGGGTCAGCTGTCCTGGTCCAGAAGAGATTAGCTGGGGTGGGGGTGGGGCCCCGGGTCCCGAATCCTGAGTTTGGGGCTGAAGGTGGGTGTGGGGTGGGAAGTGGCCCAGAGCAGTGGACAGAGGACACTGCTGGGTCCTGGAGAAACTGCCGACAGAGCCAAGAGGAAAAGGGTCAGGAGGAGGAATAGGAGCAGGGGGCGGGGATGGAACTGGAGCTGCCCCCTGAAATTGGCAGCCCTCGGTCCCCACCTGGTCCTGTCTAAATATGTCTCTGTGGTTGGCAAGAGAGATGGATAACCTTCTGAGGCCAGGACAGCTCCATGAGGGCTGGAATGCTCCCACCTCCTACACCTCTCCGCCAGTCTCCCAGTGGCTTCTTCCCTCCCCCGACTCCCAATGTCCAGGGCTCCTCAGCCCCTGTCCCCACACCGGCCTAAGAGTTCATCACCATATTAAGAAAGGAAAAGGGAGAGGCGCTGGAGCTAAAAATAAGACCAGATGAGTCGGAGGTAAATGAAGCTGGGACTGGGGGAGGGGACGTGGAGGGGTTATTTGGGAGAGCAGAGGACAGGGCCAGGGTAACTAGACAGAAGGAAATTTGGATGGATGGAGGTATTCTGTGTCAGAGGCTAAATTGATAACATAGGACAAAAGGGGACAAGTGTGATATTGACTTTGCATCCTAAAACCAGGGAATCTTCTATAGGTGAAGTCTGTTTCTTTGATCCTTTGGAGAAGGGGGGTGGGGGAGCAATAAAAGTGTGATCCAGGCTGCAGAAAAGAGACCCCTTGCACTTACCTTTAAAGAACAGGCCCAACGATGAGGTCGTTCCCTGAATAAAAGATGGAGCCGTGTCGAAGACTGGAGACTTGGCTCAGCTCCAGCCAGTTTCCTTTGCTTCACTCAACACTGCTAACTCAGAATGCAGGAGAATGGTAGGGCTGGCCAGATCCCATCCTGTAGAAATTCTGATTTGGGTTTCTCTGCCGTTAAGGCCCATGATGAGAAGGGGAATGTCGCTGGCTGCTACCTCCTGCGTGTGCTCTCTACCCTGATCCTACAGAATGGAACTTGGTTTTCCAGGGCACAGTGGGAAGGGAGGATTCCTCAGGTTGCATGATTTCAAACAGAGCAAATAGGTACTACTTGTTCCTATGTCTTTAACAAGACAAAGAGGATCAGGTATAAACACTGGGGAAAAACACGAGGAGGTGGGCCCTGTGTCCTGAACCAAGGATGTTGATTAATTCTGTGCACCTGAGATATGAAGTGGAGTTGGGGAGTAAGGGATCTCAGCCTGGAGGTGAGGCAGAGTGGGTGAGTTCAGCTCTGGGTTCCTAGGAAAGAAGGATCTTCTTCATGGCCCTCCAGGGCTCTTACCATGCACAGGTAAACTGAGGCATGAGGGAGACCAGGGAGAGACTAGATCAAAGTCAGATGCTCCCACCCCCACCCTGAGGTACCTCTGATTCTGGAGGGATAGTGTTTATTTTGTATCCAGGCAGGGGCATGGAATTATGTTAGCAGAATAACTTGCCCACACTCCCGTGGGGTGGACATTACACAGTTAAGCAAGGAAGGCCACAGAGAATCTCAAGAACAAGGCAGGAATGGGTCCAAGAGGGACAGCTGTCACTGTAGCAGGGGAGACCAGAGCCAGCCTAAGTATGGCATGTTAGAGCTGAAAAGAGCTCAGAATCCCATCTCCGTTTCTCCCAGAAGAGTGACTAATATGCCCAGAGGCCCACAACCAGGGCAAAGACAGCTGGGAGAGATGGGCAGGCCCACCCAGAGTAGATGACCTAGATGTCGTCCAGCCCAGATTTCCCACTTCTGCTGCATTCTGAGGGAGGGGGAAACATTGGAACATTAGACTTGTTCCATCATGGATCTGAACTTTTGTATCCCCAAGGGCATGAGACGGGACTACATGGTGACTCATTCTATTCTTCTCCTGTCCTGCAGTGACCAGACCTCGTCACCCCATCCCACACCTTCCCATTGCCCTCTCTGGCTCCAGTGCCACTCTTACCCTTTCCAGCACCTGCACCCCTCTCTGCCCACCCCCATCCTCCCTCTGAAACTTTGCTATGAAGCCCCTATCCTCGAGGTCCCTGCCTTCAGGCCCTTGGGCTTACCAAGCCTCAGCCACTGGTATCAAATGACCCTGAGTTGGGGCCTCTGTATTTTTAACCCACCAGGCACCCGAAGCTCCTGCTACTGAAACCTAAGGAGCGGCCCCTCCCCGCTCCTCCCCACACCTTCCTCACATACGCAGTGGCCCCTTGATCTTCCAGGGTCTGGTTCAGCCGTGTCAGCAGCCAGGGAAGGACCCCAGACTGAGATAGCCCTGTCCCTAGGAGACCTTGTGTGGGAAGAGGGAGGGGAATGGGAAAGAGAGAGCCTGTATTGTAAGAGCCTGTATTGTGAGATTCGTCTGAAAAGTGGTTGAGGGCGCAAGTTCTTGGTTTTCTCTCCTATAAAATGGGGCGGAGTGACAGAAATACATCTGTGTGAAGTAACTGATGGCATGTAAAGCCCTTGTCCAGTGTTAGGAGTCGTGTGCGGTCATTTAATACATGTGTTTTGTTTTAGGTAACAGCTGACGATTTCCCCCAGCTCTCTTTATCACTTCTCTCTTACCCTGGATATTTTTGGGGCTCAGCCGACCCTCTACTCTGAAAGAGGCCTGGGAATGAACCGACCCACAGGGAAAAGCGGAGGAGCTCTCTGAGCAAAGCGAAAGGGGCAAGTGGGTGAAGGA